TATATTGATTGATATTGATTATATCGATTATCGGTTTTCACTAATTGGGCACGCCGGTTTATTCTGGATATCATAAAAACCTTGTCCAATAATTGTTTACAAGCTAGCAGAGGAACGAAAATTTTGCTTTACATATTCGATCGTTTTGCACTATTCTATTAATATTAACATTGGCTCAATTCAATTGGACTATTTTAAGTATTTGACTGAAAAACCAATGCTGAATAGAGAATGAAAAATAGGAAGCTAAATATACATTGTTTGAGACAATCAACAGACTTCCGATTAGCTGCACTAGTAACCAGGCCTACGGTCAACGCAGTCAAAATGACGCTGGCACAAATGACGGCGATTCGTTAGTTGTCTAAGCAACGAAACACAACCAGAACTCTGTTGAAACGGACCGAGGTCAAGTTTATTTTCTAGCTATTTATTGAGGATTTAATTTCAAATCCAGTTCCTACCTGAAAACACTTTTAACACAAACGTAGATCATTAGAGTCGATCGTTTAATTAGGCTGCTACACGGGGGGACTGGGAAGGGCTTGTCCCTATATCACTTGAAGGGCTTCCATCCGACATCATTTCGACTGTGAAAATATATTGATGAATGGCCAACAAGATGGACATGCGTATTCTAGGATTGGGGACAGAGCGAGGAGATATTCTATCGATACGACCATACAATTATCTGCAGAGCACCGAGCACCCTCCCCACCCCCCCTCCCACACTAGTTTCTGTTCCATATGGTAGTTACTCTCAAAGGCCTCGGAATGCGCACAGCATTTAATTTTTTTTTATCTTGCACGCAACTATTGCCCTGTAAAGAACGCAATGACCCTCTTGGCACGGGTCTATTGTTTCAGATATCTATGTGTAAGTACAAACTCTCCCTGACAATTGTTAAAAATTCACATTGAAATTAGTTAATTATTTTGTCCCCTGATATCACAGTTAAAATGTTAATCTCTTCTGTAGCCCAGTCGCCTTCTTCCTTATACTCGGGCTTTCTGTACCGTGAACGGCCTGGTGATTCACTCTGATTTCGATTTTCATTCCAACTTGTCGATTTATAGATGGTCTTCAGTGTCATGGCGGCGTTAGTAGAAGTGATTTCATTTCTTCAAGCACACTCGATACAAGAGAGAAGTCTGTACTTTTACCATCTACAGACACCGAGTGATCCTGTGAAAAACAAAAGAACATCTTCCTGATAAAAAACTGCTTTTTCCCCACAATATCAAAAATATCAAGGAGGCAATTGATGAGATTTAAGAAAATCATCAACCTCATGATTGCTGAGTCAGAAAGATAGCGTGACGCCCCCAAAAGGGATTGCATTAAACAATAAAACATTAACTTACCGGTAGCTGTTTTACAAGCACACAGAGATGATGTCCTTGAATTGAACTGGCGTATAAGGACGCACTGTTATCGACTTGTTCTACGACTAGAAAAAGGAAAGCAAAGTAATATATTACAGTAAGGTGAATGCACTTGCTTGCCAATCCCCCTTGAATTGAGCGCGCGGCTAAATAATGAGAGCTGGGAACTAGGCCTGGGTTTCATTTAAGACAATTCGAAGAACGAATTTCAGTTGATTTCGTTCTTCCAAGACGTTCTTGAAAGTCAAACGAAACGTAAACCAGAGGAAACATCTGCAGCTTAAATGGAATTCGAACACAAGTCTAGTCAAAACAAAACAAGATGAATAGCATTCCAACAACATCTGCCCGCAATTCGGGTTGTTTTTCAGTCCTATTTTAGTTTATTTTTTACCACAGCACCAACATACCAATATAACGCACGAATAATTAAACAATACGATAGCCAACCTGGTCCAACATAGTGAATGCTTGCAGAGACAAAAAATGACATCTGTACTGGAAGCCTTCCAAAATTTATCACGAGGCACTTGAGACAATTTCCTTTCATACGATCCGTTAAGCGGATATTTAGAAAATCAGGTTACAACACACAATTAAATAAAAAGGAAAGATCATTATACGCCTTTGTTTGGTCAGAAGAATGCACAACCAAGAGAAATCATGACTGTATTGGCGGAAGTAACAATTTTTGTTTGGTTTATTTTTGGTGAATTGAACGAATAACCTGTGCCAACTTGAGATTAGTAAAATTTGAAGCAAAAATCGATATCATTGTAATATAATGACATGATCATAACTTCTGAGTCGAATATCTATGTTTTTCCAGCTTTCTTTATCCAATTAACATTTGTTAAAGTTTATATAAATATAGTTCCTAACTAATCTACCAATTAACATACCCTTACAAATTGTCCGACAATATTGTGCACTCGACAGGCGTCCTGATGTCTGGTTTGAAGTAAACACTCGTTATATTGCAATGATATTGATTTTTGCTGCAAATGTTACTAATTTCAAGTTGGTTGCTATGCTAAGTCAAACAGGATCACAGCTGGAGACCTTCCGACACTCTCAAAAGATACGATCTGCACCATCATATGATGGCAGACAGTTTGTCTCCTGATAAACCGATTTACAGTAAATTGCGATACGAGAAAAAAGTGTTACAATGGAGCATAGCGGAATTTACTCTCGCCTCCTCGAGGCGTGGGCGTGTCGAAACGCAACGCAACGCCAACAAATTTCATCGTCCCTAAGCGCATTTGCAGAGGAGTTTACCGAACTCGTTACTCGTATGGTTTAAGGATAAAGATTTTTACCAGTGGATTGGGCCAAAGTTTCACTGTCAACAGGTAAAAGCGGGGTTCTGAAAAGAGAGCGGAGGAAGAGCGACACGCGAGACACGCGTTGAATGTGCGCGCGTGGTCGGGGAAGAGGATACAGACAATTACAGTATAGATGTTGTTTACCTGCAAAATGTAACAGGACACAAATCCTGGTGATAATTGATCTAAACCCTGTTGTTTCTGGAGTTGTGACCTGCAAACAAAAAATATCAGCTTGAGAGGGAATTAACAGTTCAGCCGCATAGCTTGTGCTACATCCGCCCTCCCCGAAAAAATATCAGCGGCAACACACAGACGCTCTCTCTGATTTTTTTTCTTTCCGGGAGGGCGGCGGTAACACAGGTTAACAGTCGTATGGCGGTGAACTGAATTAACAAGATTCTCTTGGTGCCAATATAAAAATTCTCCATACAGTTCTTACAGAAGGGATGAGAAGAATCTGTCCTTATCAAGCAAGAAGCGCAAGAGCTAAGAATCAAATCATGATTACGTATTGTATTTTGTTCACAATAACTGACGTTAAGTACAAGCATTGAGCACAAGAGAAACAAGAAAACCCGTCGTAACTTTTATCAGCTAATGGCTTTTATTAACGATATCTGCTTGCCCGTTATCCCTCAAGGGTCTTTCACCGAGAAGAGAACAGAGAACAGCATGGGAGAAAACAAGGCGGTGCGAGAACAGCAACTACTTTAACCGTCATTTTTGCTTTCCAGTCGAGATTCTTGCGCTGGTGTAATGATTTGTTCACTTAAAATATAATAAAAATTTTCTCTGCATGACAAAACCAAAACAATACTAGTGTACAGTCGGTCACCAAAGTTAAGAATTTGCGGAAACTGCTAATCCCCCGACACAAGCAACATGGCGCCAGGGTATTTCCCCGGGTAACATCGACCGGAATAGATACCAGAAAATCGGAAGGATGAGGTAGGTACAAAAAATATAGGAAATGATGCAAGAAAACAATTCCATTGCAGATAATAACGCTTGAAGTTCAGAGTATGGTTTCATCCAACACCCACGAAATTGAATACTGAACACGACTTGAAATCATGTGAAACAAAAACGATAATAAGCACCGCCTTTCTATAAAGATAAAGGAATTCAATTCGATTAC